TCCCTTATCTGATATGTTATTACCAAATACTTTTTCCCAGTTGGGGGTTTCCCTTTTTACCCTGTTGGAGAAGTTTTTGGATGTGTAGACAGTAGCTTTTATTACTTATAAAAAGCAGATAACGTACAACAGATGAGCAGTTCAAACACTATTTAGGCGAAGATGAAGAAATTTGTCTGTATCCCTTTTAATACCAGAAAGGCTTGATTGGCCTTTCTAATACCAGACCCTCCTGGCTAGGTTTCCTTAATTTGGTGGGCTCAAGACTTTTCCCCAACCATCACTATAGTTTAGGAATAGTTTCCTCCTCAAACCATTTTTATACCCCAAAGCTTACATGATCCATTAACACACCATCATGATCGCTTAAGTGGGTGATTACTTGGAGGCTTTCCCACAGTGGTATCTCTGCTATTCCCCTGACGTTAAAAACCGCTGGGCTTCAGAAGAGCAGGCTGCGGTAAGTTTGTTTCTCATGCCTAAAGATGGAGAGGTGTGCAACAATGAAAGATTCTCTTTAAAGAGAAAAGTGAACTGAGGGGCAGGGTAGAGGAAAATCTGCAGCAATGAATGAATGGAAATCCAAGTTTTCTGTATACTTTCATTAAAATATCAGTTTAAAAAAACAACAAAAACGATGGAGAAAAACAGGAAAGACATAGGTCCAAGCTTGTGCAAAGAACTATTTTCCTCATAAAAACACTTAATTATGCTGAATATCTTCTTTTTCTTAAATGTTTTTAGTTTAAAATTACAAGTAGATAAGAAATTATTCTGTTGTTAGTGTAGTCAAGTCAGCACCTACTCAATATCAATCCTATGTGCTGGAGAACCAACTGTTCACTCTTGGCCCTCCTAATAATCTCTGCAGTGCTCACCCCCATTGCTAGTCACCGTGTCAGTTTCATTGAGATTCTTCCTGTTTTTTATTGACCCTATACTTTTTTCAGTATGTCTTTCTCCTGGGACTGGCTCCTTCTGGTAATGGTATATGTATTCAGTATGAGTACTCACACTATTCTTGCTTCTTACTCTGAGATAAATTTGCTTTTCCTTTTGGTGTCCATAGTATATTCTGTATTCATTACTAACACCACAATTTAGAACTATCTAGTGATTGAAAAGTACTATATTTATGTATGTAAAATGTCATCCAGTTCTGTCTTGTCCTTCCCAATTCTCATCCCCACAACAGAAGACCTCCACTATTAATTTACTTTTATCCTTCCAGAGTTTATTAGTCTTTTTTAATAATACTAGTTGTATGTTTTTATGCTCTTTGTAAAATAGATAAAATAAAGCATCCTATTTATACCTTCTTTATGTAGTTAGTATCCCCTGTAAATATTATCAATATGTTAAGGAGGTACTTATATCTTTTTAGAGCTGCTTATTATTCCAGTGTATGAGGGTACTTACAGGCTTTATTATGATAAAAATATTGTAGTGAATAACCTATTAAAAACTTTGTGGTGTTTTTTTTGTGTGTGTATTTCATACTTACCTGTAAGATGCATTCCTAAAAGTAGAACTGCTTGGTCAGTGAATGCATTCGTGATGGCTGTTGGTTTCTTAATGAACTGTACATCTTATTTATTTTCTGAGGAAAGTCTGATTTGGAAAATTTGGAGGGCAGGAGGTCCTGTAGGAAGAAGCAAAAATAATGATAAAGTAAGATAACAGGGGCCTCAGTACCATCTGTCTTCTTTTCTCTGTCCAAAGCATGTTGGCACCATGCTTGTTTTTTCCCCTTTAACATTTATAACATCTTCAAGATACCTTTTTTAAATTTTTTTTTCTTGTTAATGTTATTGTTGTGTTCTGTTAAATCAGATCTTACTGGCACAGAAGGAGATTGCCCCCCCTTCTCCAGCGCAACATCTGGTGGATTTACGTCTTCAAGATATGTTTGACAAGCAGTTCTTATCACTTAAAAACACACCGAAATTATGAAGCTGGTCCAGGAACAAACAAGATTTTCTTGTATTATACATAAAGTTGGCATGTGACAGAGCCGACTCTGTTACTAGCTTTTGTTACCTGCTTTACCCATATTTTCTGGAGATTATCTTTTTTCAGAGATTATTTTCCTTTGAAGGCAGTTAAGTAAGAAATGGTGACAAACCTGAGTTAGTGCTGGTAGAGTATAGGCTTTATAGTGACTTCCTTGATGACTGTGAAGTAGTGCATATTGCCCTTGCTGTCAGGCTTCAGCCTGCCTTTACAGAGAAGAGCTCTATTGTCCCCTGTGTTTGGTTTTTCTGCCACAATCTGATTTTAACAACTGGGTCTTCTGTATTCAGTGCATTGTATGTGGTGGATCTGAAAAAGTTCAGAAAGATTGCAGCTGGTGACAGACTCCGGGGACAGTACCAAGGTCTGAGTCAGGATCCCAACAGCCTTTCAAATCTTGATCAGGTAAGCAGCCATTTTTATGGTTCTTATTATCAGTGTTGTTTCAGAAATGCACTATGATTTGATTATTTTTTATTTTTAATGCATGGAGTTTCAGGTCTCCATTGAAAGTGATTTCATATTTGTGTTATGTCTGTGAAATGTGTGCATCTGTGTGTTTGTGAAATTTTTATTTCTCCTCGTGAGAAATGTCGTGTGCCTAATCTTAGCTGAAGAGAGAGAGAGAGGAATAGAAGGTGACTGCTCTAAACCATTACTGAGTAACTTTAATTTTACTTAACACGTTGCCGCAAATGGCAGCAAATGTGTTTCCAAGCACAGTCGTCAATTTAAGTGTGCGGCAAAGTGTTAAGGTACTTAATACTTTGGTAGATTTGTTTCCACACCTGCCGTTTGTCTGTCTGCTGCTGGATCTGACTAGCTCAGAGAGTCATAGCATAAAAGGCTGTTTCCCTGCTTTTATATGACAAAAATTATGGTGTTTCTCAAGAAAGTTAGCTTACTAACAATTTCCAGAGGTGAGTCATTGTAATTTGAGTATAGAGTTCCATGTATTTTAAGCATATTTTATTTTGCTCAAAGGCTTTTACAAACATGTATTGTGATGTCTAGTGGACCTCTGGTGGCGTGATCTGTGACATTTTGTCTTCTTTGCTAAAAGACCGAGTCCAGTCTCTGGCTGTTCAGATCTACCAGTAGCTTCACAGGAGAAAGAAGGGCAGGCTTCTCCCATTAAGATTTATAGCCTTGGAAACCCAATGGAGAATTTCTGTGACTCGGAATTGACTGGCAGAAAGAGAGAACTGGCACCCAACGAGAAAAGTTCACAAAACAAAAATATGCAAATATATACATCAAGGAATCATGCTAAATTATCCCAAATAATCCCAAGCATTTTTATGCCACCATCCAGACAAAGAAAAGCTATTCTAGCAACCTGGAAGCCAGTCTTTTTTCTTTAACAAAGTACCCAGTACTGTGATTTAGGACGACTGCTCCATTGTGTTTCTTGATAAAATTCCTATTTAAGCATTTTTTTTTTAAATTTTGTGTGTGTGTGTGTGTGTGTGTGTACCATCAAATCAGATCTGACTGGTACAGGAGGAGATGGCCCCTCCTTCTCCGGCAGACCATCTGGTGGATTTGAACCACATATCTCTAGGGTTGCAGTACAGCTTCTTGCCACTAGACTACCAGAGCTCCCCATTAAGCATATATTTTTAAAAAATATTTTCTTTTTTATTGGTTTGCATACAAAA